GGGGGACGGGAGGGGAGACGAGAGAGCAGCACCCCTCGCGTGCCCTGGGTGGCGGGACGTGCGGAGGGCCACCCATGGGTCCTGATGTTTGTCTCCTCCCCAGCCACGATGGCCTTCCTCTTCGACCTGAAGGACTTGGTGGACCTCATGTCCATTGGCACTCTCCTGGCTTACTCTTTGGTGGCTGCCTGCGTCTTGGTCTTGCGGTATGTATGGCTTTTCTGGGCCTCGCAACAGATGAGCGCGTGTACCATGCTAACCTCTGAGCAGTTAGAGTTAATGGTTTATACCGTGCAAGTTTTAGGTTGTTGAGAGGCCCTTTGGGGACTGCCCAGGGGAGTGGGGATTGGGTGGCAGAGACTGGTGACAGAGAACACCTTCAAAAAGAGTCAGGGGTGGCCCCACTACCCCCTGTCATATGCCCTTGTTTTTCTGGCTAGTTGTTGAAAGAATAGCCCAAGTGTTGGGCCTGGATCCTGTAATGATTTCGAAGTGGTCCAGAGGGGATGGGAGGAGTCAGGAGAATCCAGTGACACTTAGGTCACTACGATGACCTGTGAGGCTCAGGTCGCAGCGATGCTTCGCTGTGCAGCCGCTGGAGGAAGGAATCCCATTACGTGGTGAGGGTGACCGAGGCTGACATTCGGGAGACTTTCCAGGTGCTGGCTGCTCTGGCCCTGCGTGTCCCAGGCCAGCCGCAGGCCTAGGCTTGGGGTCCTGGCGTTCGCAGCCGCCTCAGAGCCCCCTCCCAAAGCGTCCTGCCGGCCACCCATTTTCCTTTGCGCTGGAAGTGCTGGGCTCTGCGTCCCCACCTCCAGGAGTGGCCCGAAGTGGCCTCCATCGTGAGAACACGTGCCCACAGAGGCCCCCAGTGCTGGTCACCTGGCGAGAGCCTGCGATAGGTTTTCAGGTATTCGTTCCACTTGCAAGGCCACTGGCTTCGTTTCTGATGACTCCGCAGCTAGTTCCCTGAAACCTGCTGGGTCGAGCCTTGGTCGCGGCTCTGTCGGACCAGCTAAAACCAGTTTGCCAGCCCTCTTGCCACTCACTCCTTCCCCAGAGCTCAACGCTAGGCATTCTCCGCGGTCCCCCCACTGTAACTGACCGCACGGCGGTGCCCGAGCGAACCAGTGAAAATGCAGGGGACGTCTTTATGCTCGCTCCGAGACGAGGTACAGAGTCATTCATCGGGCGCTCTGATTGTCAAAGCCGGCGCAAAAGATTCGAGCTCTGTTCGTTTGGGGCAGGAAGATGAGGAGCCTCGTTTAAAACGACTTCTGCTCTCGTAGTAGCTGTGGCTTGGAAGTCCCGCCGTAGGCTGGGCGCTTCGCTCAGCTCCACAGATTTATTTATACCGAGGCGCTCGGAGTTTAAAATAAACCGATCCAGTGAACTCCTCCAACCGCCGGACTCTCTCCAGCCCGTCAGCTGCAGACGCTTTCCTCCGGCACCCCGTACCTAACGGGGCCCCGACGCTCCTGCTCTCTGTTCCCGTCTGCGCCGTTAGCTCCCCGCAGCGCGGCTTTGTGAGCCGCGAGTGGACTAACACGCGCGTCCCCGGGCTGGCGCCGCTCCTCAGCCGGGCAGCGCGTGTCGCTCCGTCTCCGCCCCGGGTCGGCTCCCGGTGGACGTCACGTGTTCTGGCAGCGAAGGGCAGCGAGGGAGCTGCTGTCGGAAGCAGCAGCAGCGGGCGAGGACCAGGCCTCCTCCTCCGTCCCCACGTGGCCCGAGAAGACGTCGCTCCGGCCACCTTGCCCCCGCTCTATGCCCCGTGCCCTGGGCGGCTCGCCCCGGAGCCTTGCTGAGGACGCGAGGCAGCACGCGTCCCGTTGCCGCGAGCGTGGCGTGACGGTCACGCCGAGCGTTTCTGCGCAGGTATCAGCCAGAGCAGCCCAACATGGTGTACCAGATGGCCAGAACGACCGACGAGCTGGACCCGGTGGACCAGCACGAGCTGTCCAGCACCAGCGACTCCCAGACGGGCATTCTGCCGGAGGCGGAAAAGTTTTCTTTGAGAACCTTGCTCTCACCCAAAAACAAGGAGCCCTCCAAAATCTCAGGGCTGATCGTGAACGTTTCGAGCAGCCTCATAGGTAGGAGCCTGCCCTTCCCTGTAAGGTGTCCGGGGTCCTGGGCCTGCTCGCTGGCCCTGTGTGGTTTCTCGTCACGGGGGGTGGCCGGAAGGGACGAGCATCCGTCCTCCTGTACCGTGGGGCTCATCATTCTGGCCTCATCAGAGGTGCTGCCTACAGAAACAGAGCCTCCGTCTCTGTAGGTTTTGGGGGGACCTGGGGTATCCACGGGAGTTGAGACGTGGTCGAGATACATGCATCTCTCTCTGCTTTTCTCTCCATCAGCCATTCTCATTATCGTCTTCTGCATCGTGACCGTGCTCGGAAAGGAGGCCCTAGCCCGGGGGGAGTTGTGGGCACTCTTCGTGCTCATCAGCTCTGCCGTCCTCTGCTCAGTGGTCACCGTCATTATCTGGCAGCAGCCGGAGAGCAAGACCAAGCTCTCGTTTAAGGTCAGCGGCTCCGCCCAACGGGCCTGCAGGGG